GGGTTAGACCTTGCTTCTCAAGCCTCTGTGAAAGATTGCAGGCTACGATACAGCTACCAGATGCTGCGTACAATACTGAGTTCCACTCTGTTCGATAGATCTCGCTACGGAACTGTGCATAAGCCTCAGATCTATAGCACGTGCACAGCATTGCAGCTTAAAGTCGAGGGCTGGGGTTTTTTTTAAAGCCTTGCTATAAACGCAGCAGGGCATACTTCGAAGAAATACGTTTATACTAAGAAGTCTTACAGATTAATCCTATTCGTATTTTATACTCATGATCAGCCTACTAGTTGATTTTCTGATGATTAGAAACGGGGTGTGACTGCTGTTGCATAACGGGCTTGCTTTATACGGTGTCGAACTTTTGCATGCCGTGGCTGCTGTTCTTTAACGCGAATCTTAAGACTTGCCAAGGTTGGAGGTATGATAATCTGCGGAAGTAAGATAGCGCTTCCATACCTGGGCTGCAGATAATCAGGGCGACCGCTAGAAGGCAGCAAAAACATTCAGAAAACTAGCAGTTCTAGATTGTATGGTTTTATGGAAGATACCGTAGGTAGGTTAAAGTCGGTTTTTCAGTTAGGGCACTCTGAAGTTAGAAAGGGACAGACAGTCCCACATTCGAAACATTGTGAATATCTTTCCTGGATTGTAAATCTCTCCACCCCACCCCCCTACACCCACCCTGTTACTTGTAGTTTCTATAGGGCTTCGATTTTTCTCACTGCCTCCAATTATCTGTATGTGAGTCTGTAAAAAAAAGGGGCGTAAGCAGTATCCTTGGATAATTTTGCTCATATTATTTATCTGACTGGAAAATAATATTTCTAGGTAGCTTGAATAACTAATGCTATTTGATATGGCTTTTTAAATATATTTTTTCTACATTTCGTATCCTGATGTACTTGCACCACATGTAAATGTGGGTAATCATTGCCTAGTTGGAATGTGAATACATTTATTTGGGTTTTTATACCTTTCAGTTCTCACAGGCAATGTGAACAGGTTGTCATATAACATAAGGTTACAACTGGGGGAAAAAGAATACAGTATAACTATTGAAAAATATCAAGTGCACAGCCTTTGGGCTAGAACAGGGATGTGCTGCATCACGTGTTGGCCGCTCCCACCCCGTTTTAGTGAAGGGGAAAAAAGTCACGATATTTCACGTGGCAATGTGACACCACGAGTTTGACGCCTCTGGGTTAGAATAATACTCATTTGGCCCTAGTCCTCTCTGGAACAGGCATGTTTTCAAGGCTTAGAAGCAAATGAAGAAAGTGATGGTCCAGATATCTGAATATAGGGGCTTCATCTTCAAGAATGCTCAGTTAGATTCCCTTTAGCAATGGATCCTCAGGAAGCCACCTTTTTCTCATCTTGTTGAGCAGACAGATTGAAACAGAGAGGAGATATCTCCGAGTTATCCTGAATCTTGAAAGGATTTCAAGATAATAAGCAGCACCTTCAGTTGTACCTGGACACTATCCAGCAACCAATTAATCACTTGGCAAGGATGATACATGAAAACAACCCCTTGTTAAACAGTTGTGGCTTCTGACTAGTCTTCAAGAACTACTTATGTGCAGTAGCCCAGGCAGGAGGTGACAAGGGTGCGAATAACTGTGCAAAGCCTCTGATTGGGGGGGGGGGGGGGACCCACAGCTTGTGCAGAGGATCTTTTAACCAAAGCCTCACCTAATGCATAGCAGGAACTATGCATTGAAAAAGACTCCCAAACTGCACAGTTCTGTTTGGGGAAGAGCAATACAGACCTGATGATAGACTGTTTCCACTCTATCTTGCTTAGATTTGGCCTAAGCCTGTTTAATTTATCCAGACCCTGATAGAATCTGCACCACATCTCTTGCCCAAATCAGAATGGAGATATACAGTTCTGTTTGTAGCTCACTCTGTGCCAGGAGATGACCTCTTCCAGCAGATTTGTATACAGTAGATTTTAAAAACAGGTAGGATAGACTAAGCCTGCAATACTCTGCAATTCACTACTCATCGATGTGATTTCTACTCCACTGCAAGTAACCCCTCAGAAAGGACGAGCACTGAAAAACAGTGCCCCCACTTTCAACTAGCCTGGAAGAAAGTCATGATTGGTGGTATCAAAGATCCAACAGAGAGAAGGCTTGCATTCTCCTTATATTACTTCTATTAAAGATCATCAATAAGAACAATTAATGTAGTTTCAGTCTTTTATGGAAATCTGAATTCCAACTGAAAAGGGTCCAGCTAATCAATTTTTTATAAAATGTGAAACTGATAATTATTGAGGATAGATAGGCTTGGCAGCATTCACAAAACAGATAAAGGCAGGGATCTAGTCTTCATGTTGCAGAACTTACAGCATGTAGAACCCTGCACATAGCACATAGAATTCCTCAAGATTCACAGACTCAAACTGATCCCAAATAATCTTAGAAGACAATGTGTCTATCTCAACTGGACCTACTGGGCTAATGTCCAACTTAGAGCAAAAGCAATTTTATCCTCCACATACTTAAAAACTCTTCCAGCCTGGATTTATCTAACAGGGATAAAAATGCAGTCACCGGTACATTTACATGTTGCTATTCTTACCACCATAATAAGTATATTGAATTACTTTTTTCTCCATGGAATTGTGTCTGATTCTTGGACACTGCCTGGACAAGTCCCTGCAGGTTTTTTTGGCAAGGTTTTTCAGAAGTTGTTTGCTATTGCTTCCTGCCCAGGACCCTGAGAAAATGACTGTTCCAAGGTCACTCTACTCATAGTGTTTTGCTGTCTAGCCTGATGCCTTAACCACTACTACAACAGTGAAGCAATGGAATTACAGTTCAACACATAGAGCATTAGCTAGCAGAAGCATGGACCAGATGTCCTTTGTTTCTTCAAACAGGTTTTATGTTTTTTTAAAGAAACAGCTGTCATTTTAGCTTCTTATGATTGTAATATAATGTATTGTACTAAATTATAGCCTACAGTCTTTTGCATTTTTCTGCAGTGCTTTTAAGAAAAACATGGAAATTAGAAATGAAATGTTAAGGCACTGCTGATGGGTTTAAAATATGCTCTTCCAAATTATAACAAGGATATTTCTTCAATCTAATTTCTCTTAGAAAGGAAAACTTCATTTATTGATAGAAAGTAAAAGCATGCCTCATTTTTAATTTTTTTGGTAAAAATAGAATTAGGAATATGCAGCTCATTTTTATTGCAATTATAAAGGAACAGTGATAATAATTATCCATATATGTAATTGCAAAAATGAAGCTGGAAAGAATTCCGCTTTGTTTTTCAATGTTTTTTTCAAATCATTTGACAGATATTTATTTATGCAGAACCCTGTTGTAGAATAAACATAATTTCCATCATTCGCTACCAAGATCTTTATTAACCAAATTTATATGGCTGCTCGATTCACACATGACTCACTCATCCTTTTTTTGCAATTATTTTCTGATAAAAAAAAGATTACTTCCTCTGATGCTGCAATGACAAAGATGCTAAAATGAAGTTGAAGTGTTTTGAACTGTGTTTTTGAGCAATATGTAAGATCAGTTTTAGATTCTAAGTGATTTGCTCCAGCTATTTCCTAGTAGGAGAAGAGGCATGCTGGGGGAGTAAAGTTTAGTTTGACTTTTGGTAAAGCATCAATAATGGTGATACTTGACTGAATTTTTAGCATTGCTGTTTTTAACTAAAGACAGCTGCCAGCTATTCAAAAGTTACACTATGTAATTAAGGGGGAGGCTCAGTATACACTAAAGCAGGCTAACTGGAAGGTCAGGGAGAGTCTTTTTTAAAGGGTGGGGTGAGGTTAATCATAAGCTGTAAGTGCACATTCTTGTGTAATGGAAAAGTGAACCCAAATAACATTTATGCCAGCCATTTCAGAGATGCTGTTCTGCCAGGAACATTTTAATAAAATTTTAGATGATTTCCTTTGAAGTTTTTTTTGAAGTTTGCATTTTACTGCACTTTTGACAGCATTCTTGGCTTCTTATAAGTGCACCTACTTTGGTTACTGAATAATAAATTAATGAACTGCAAAGGTGATCTAATACTTTTTGAAAGTGCAAGTACTCTAGCAGGAGAGCAGCTGTTTATTATCATGTATCTGCTGAGGTTCAAAACAGGCAGCTTATCGCTGTTCAGCAAGTCCAGCAAGTTTACTTTAAGGACATAATCCTGTGTGTGAGAAGTCCCATTAAATTTAAGGAATCTATTCAGAAAGTAAATTAGGGGCTTAAATCCTGGGATGGGAATAAGAATTACTGCGGACAAGCAGTTTCGAGGCCATACATTCACCAGTAATTTAGCCACAGCCTTCCTTATCGCTGTTTGTTAGTTTTTCTGAAGAAGAAAAAAGCGGGTTGAATTTACCCCTACAGGACATGCATTGATAATGATCTTTTCTTTTGATGTTTTACCTTTGAACCTTAACCTGTTTGACCCATTTATCTGCAATTACCCCATCGCTGATATCTCAAAGTAATTATCTCCTCTCCTTTTTTACTTGAGGTGGTTGCGTCAACTTCTATCAGGGCGACACACACCCTCTCCTTCTCCACACACACACACACACCCCTTTGTTTTTGTTTAAGCACTCCGCTATAGGATCACCTGGCTTTTCTCCTTTTACATTGGTTGCATCGGCCAGGGCCAAACTGTCCAATCAGATTCGGGCGCTCGTGTTGGTGTTGCTGGGCAGAAGAAAAACAAACAGAAACCAAGGGAAAGCGAGCACCGGCGGGAGCGACTTAAGGGGAGGGGGGGAAAGAGGTGTAGCCGTCTGAGCAGCTCCGAGGCCGCCGCCTACGGTAATTCGACTCCTTCGCTGTCCTCGGGGGACGTGACGTTAAAAGCGGAGGACTCGCCTTTTGGGCGGCGCTATGAGGGGAAGGGACGCCTTTTTTTTATGTCTGAAGTCGTGAGAGAGTATTTTTTTTTTTAATTATTTTTCACATTTCGGAACCGCCCCTCTCCGTCTCCCGCTTCTCGAACTGTTCAGGGGGAAACTGCTGTGCCGTCTCTCCTGGCACTGTTTGGTCCTTTCTGAGGTGGAGATCAGAGAGAGAGATCGCAGGTCTCGTACGGCTTTCGGTCTCTTTCCCCTGCTCTTGGTCCCGTTTCACACTAACGACCATCCTGATAGTAAACCCTGAGGCAGCTGGGGCTCTTCTCCCATAAAAGAGCGCGAAATACGCGATGATAGCCGGCTCTCTTAAGTGCCCAGATCCGAGTAAAAATCACCACCTAGATAAAGTGGAGCGCATACCCATCCTTTGCTAACCGCGGTTGCTTTGAAAGGGAGACGGGGCTGAGGAAGAAAAGTAGGCAATAATGGGGTAGGTGAGTCCTCCAGCTTGCAGAAACAGAATTTTGCCCCTTTAATGAAGATTAAAGCACTTGCTGCCCAAACAACTGCAGCTCTTTTATTGCTGTGACCAGCCTCCTGTCTCTGAGTAGCCTTAGATTTCACAGTTCTATCTTTGCTTTTCACATTATGGAGACTCCCCAACTTTAGGGGTGGCAATCAGGTTTCCCTGAAAAAGGTTTTTTTTTTGAGGGGGGGTAGTTGTGCTTCTAATTATTTAACAGATTTGAGGTACATTTGGTAGGTTGTGCTTGACTCGATCCTGTTGCTGAACTGTAATGTCAACTGTAATTGTTGACTTCTGTTTCAACCAAGTTACTGTGATTTGTAAACCTGAATTTAAGGCTTAGCATTTTGGATGAACCCTAGCAGTTGTGGTTATTCAGTAAACTATGTTAAAATCATTTGTGGCCTACTGGGTTATACAACTTTAGCTTTAATTTACATGAAGTAACAATGACAGCTGCCAAGGCTGGTTCTTTCTTTGGAAGAGAAGTCATTATGGAAAATGATACAACTGAATTGGGTGAGGGAGGGGGGAAGGACTGCTGTATGTGGCAAAAGCAGGTACTCTTTATGCAAGTTTGTGTCTCATTTCTTATTTGATTAATTTGTTGCTTTAAGGATAGGTATCAAATGCAACTACATTTTTTCCTTAAGGGCACCAATTATTTCTGTTCAAACAGAACAGAAATTTCTTTGCTTTCCAATACTGTTCTGTTATCTAAAGTTACCCAAAACATTGTTTTAGTGAAAGTTAGTGTTTCAGAATTTCTAGTCTGGAAAAGTTGATAAGAGTTATTACGTTCTTTGAAATTAAGATAAATGGTGGGGTTCCTGTGGAGAGATAGGTTTTGTGAGATTCCACTGTTAAGTGATGGTTACTGGGTTTATGTATCACAGGAAACCATGTTTTACTTAGCATAGGTTCTAGAATTTAACCCTTTTTATTCAGTTTATTGAGAGCCAGTTTGATATAATGGTTTAGACACAGGCTATAAATGGGAGACTGCGAGTTCTGTCTTAAGCACAAAACCAACTGGTGATGTTGAATCTATCATGGCAAACTATGTTTGAAAATCTTGACAACAGAACTGCAGGGCCACTCCAGGCAGTTTCCAGCAGTCAATACTGACTTAAAAGACAGACACATACAAACAAAATCAGTTTATTGCTCAGCTTATCATATGTCACGGATTTTAGTTCAGAATGGTAAGCTTCATTCTGAGCCACTCTTCCCCAACCTGGAATGTTTCAGATGAATGGATTTTTAACACTCAGAATTCCCCAGCTAGGGTGGTCATTACTGACACCACCACTGTTGAAATACGTATATCAACTGATTCCCAAGTTAGGGAAGGCTACCACCTAATAAAGTATCATATTTATATAGCCGCCCATTCATAAACTCAAATTACAAATCTGAACTTAGTGATCATGACACCTTGTCTGAATATAGTGACTCAATTACATGTAAATGAAGTACTGTAAATGGCCTAGCTTTGCATTACAAATCACAGTAGTCAGATTCAGACACAATAGAACATCAGTGTTCAACAACATGCTGCAGTGATCCTCCTGTTTATCAGAGAAGAAATTGATACCTTTTGTATTTATTTCATACATGCTAATTCAGCCCTAGAATGTCCAACTTCAGATTATTATATTGTTTTTACAAGAAAAAGTTTTAAACAAGAACTTTTTAAACAAGAAAAAGTAAGTTTTTAAAGTTGTTCAAATCTTCCTTTCCACATCGAATAGAATAGAATAACAGAGTTGGAAGGGACCTTGGAGGTCTTCTAGTCCAACACCCTACTTAAGCAGGAAACCCTACACCACTTCAGACAAATGGTTATCCAACATCTTCTTAAAAACTTCCAGTGTTGGAGCATTAATAACTTCTGGAGGCAAATTGTTCCACTAATTAATTGTTCTAACTGTCATGAAATTTCTCCTTAGTTCTAAGTTGCTTCTCTCCTTGATTAGTTTCTAGGTTGACTAGTGCTGAAAAAAAGAGAGAAATGGCTGCTTTTCTTATATGAGGAAACAAAGTTGCTGTTATAGCTAAACAGACATTTTTTTAGATTAAAAAAATGAATAAAACATTGAATGCCAAGTAATAAAATGATTTTAAGTACAGTATTACATTTAATTTGAATTGTGTTTTTATTTGATAATGAAGTTAATTTTCTATTCAGTATAAACAGTTGTTAGATACGAGATGGGTGGTGACATGTATAAATTTAATAATAAATAAAATAAATATTATTATATCCTGTGGGAATATACAAGTATATTCCACAATTTTTTGATCACAGCTACAGTCTCTGCATTCTTCCATTTAAGGTTGATGTTTTTCAAATCTTCCTGAAATGTTTGGAACCAGGTTTCTTTGGCCTTCCTCTTTTTTTCTGAACATCTGGTGGTATCCAATTCATTGCAGTCTTTGCTGAACGTTGCTCACTTACACAGATCACCAGTCCAGCAAAGCACATTCTACATTCTATCACTATCTCAGTCTTCAGAAATTATTTCTTTGTAGAATTTCCTTATTTGTGACATAGTCCTGATATGAGATACGAAGAATCCTTCTGAGACAACGCTGTTGGAAGATACCTTATGAATAATTCTTGTTGTAGATTTCCAGGTCTCACTGACATAGTTGGTAGTTGGTATGACAATGACATTAAATAATCTGATTTTGGTTGCTGTGTTTATAACAGATGTGGTCCAATTGAGCACATTTGTTAGAAGACAGCAGTTGCTTTACCTATTTGGCATTTCGCATCTCCTTCCCCCATCTGTATCCATGATGCTACCAAGGTAGTTAAATTGTTCCACAAAGTTTTAAGACCTGTCCTCCTAATGTTGTTGGAGTTGTGTTTTGAAGATTGCCAACGTGCATCATGTTGGTCACGATTTCACTAATTTTTAAGCCCATTTGCCTTTGCTTCAAGTGCCAATGTCAGTCTTAGTGTTTTCAAGTAAAGCTATGCTATCAGAAAAATCTAGGTCAGTCAATTTGCCTTGTTTATTACATAGAATGCCGAAATCCAACTTATTCACTTCCTTTCCCATGGTATAGTCTATGACAGGGGTTGGCAATCTTAAACACTTAAAGAGCCATTTGGACCCATTTCCTACAGAAAAGAAAACATCGGGAGCCACAAAACCCTTCCCATACCTGACTATTTCCTGAGCGGCCACAAAACTAGCATATGCAGTTGAATTAAACGTTTTCTTCTGAAACTTTTCTTTTCTTGGATTTATCCATGGTTGTCCTACTGGAGGTTGAAAAGCTCAATAAATCGCGTGCCAGCGGATGTCGCACATTGGTGCATATTTTGAGCGACAGGGAGCCGCAGCAGAGGGATGAAAGAGCCACATGTGGCTCCAGAGCCACGGGTTGCTGACCCTGGTCTATGATAATCAGAAATAAAAACGGGGATAGAACTACAACCGGCCGTACACCAGTATTAATTGCAAAGAAGTCAGTACTGCCCTTTTCAATTTTTACACAGTACTTAGTGTTGTAAACGTTTCTCAAGATGTTAACATATGTCTTAGGATACCATATGTTTGTAAATAAAATAAATAGGCAAGATACTAAACATTTGCAGCACTTTCAGAGCTATAGACTGATTATATTTGTTACTGCTAAAAAGAATGACTGTATATTCTACATGCACTATACATTCTACATGCACTGTAGATGGAAAAATAAACTTTGTTAAACATGGTTTAGTTTATGCTTAAAAAAACAAAAGATATGCAGTGACTCAGTGGTTAGGATGCTGTGTCCTAGACAATTAAAGGTCTACAATTTTGTAGTTCGAGACCCAAGTGCCATGAGATGGAATGAGCTCCTATTACTTGTCCCAGCTCATGCCAACCTAGCAGTTTGAAAGAATACACATTCAAGTAGATGAATAGGTACCACATATAAGCATATGGGAAGGTAACAAGTGTTCTGTGTCGTGCCATATGCTTTGTGCTGTGGTGTGATGTCATGTAAGCCACATGACCGCAGAAATGTCTCAGACAATGCTGGCTCTTTGGCTTAAGAAATGGAGATGAGCACTTCCTCCTGAAGTCGGTCATGAGTAGCATGATAAAACCTGCAGGGCCATTTTTAATTTTACCTTTAAAAGAGCAAACTCAAAATATATTGTAAGCCAGAGTTTTCTTAATATTTAAAGATCTAACAGCAGATATGACTTGATTTTAAAATGTCAGCCAATTATATTTTCTTCTTTATTTTTAAATGTATTTAGCAGGTGGCAGACTTCTCCTATTGATCTATAATTCTTAGCAGAAGTTGAACCTTGTCCTTCCTTTGGTAATAATGCAATATTGGTTTCTCTTCACAATTCTGGCATTGGAATGCCCTGTAAAATAGAATTCACCACTGTCTAAAATGGTTGCAAAAGTTGATCTTCAAAACATTTAAAATAAGAACATGGTAATCCTTTTGTTCCTGGTGCCTTTCCTATTTTAGTTTTTTTACAGCTTCTAATATCTGCCTAATAGTTATAGGGGTATTCATAATTGGTATCTAAGATTATGAAAATTTAAGTAAGTTCTATTTTTAAAATACTCCGCTGTCTGTTCCCAGGAAATAGCTTATATGTTATACAAATTGAAATAGAAGTCATACATTTTTTTATGTATATATGCATTATTCAATAATACAGTGTTGGCATCCTGAATTTTCAATATTCTTTTTGCTTTCTCGATTGATAAGCAAACCATTTCCTTGGTTTATTTGCAAACTCAAAATTCTTCTGTTTTGCATAGTTCAATTTAGTCTATTTTTCTTATATTCAACATAGGTAATTGTCGTAAAATGTTGATCTGATATACTATAATTGAATTTGCCAATGTTTTTTGTAAACTATCTTTTTAAAAATTTCATCCAAAATAGCCTGCAATTTTTCTTGGGACTTCTTTTTCAAATACCATTACATTGAATAAAGTAAGAAATCTCCCATAAAGGCTTTACTTGTATCCCAATCAATCCTTAAATCAATACCTTTATTTAAATAATTATCAAAAAATTAATTTCTTTTTACAGTCATCTATCACTAATTCCTTTTGTAATATCCCTTCATTTTATATTTCTACCAAAAAGTTGTAGATTTTCTCTTAAATATTAAACTAACTGAGTTATGATTAGAAAAAAGGGTTAGGTAAAATATCCACCTTAGAAATCTTTTTTGCTAAGTTCTTAAGAATCCATATCATGTCACATCTTGAAAACCATTTGTTCCTTTCTGAAAAATAAGCATATTGTTTAGCAGTATATTCATCTATCTCTAATCTCTACCAAAGTCAGATTATTTATTAAATAATTAAAAAAGTAATTTTAACTGTTGTCCTTTCTTTTGACCTTTCAGTTTTAACTAATTACTATTATTGTCTCTCTGCCAAAGTCAAATAGCGAAATACAGTGTTACCTCAGTTTAGCTGACCCCAGGGGATTTCATATGCAACAGGTCAAACAATTCAGTGACTAATACAAACGAGGCAAATACTCCATTTGGATCAGTATAGGTAATGCAAATGATTTAATAATCAAAATAACATATTTTCCATATTTAAGTAACATTTGTGAAAAATGGTAACCCCCCTTCCCCAATCAATACATATACCATTCTTTTAGGTGCTGTGATGTTTAACTATGGGTTTATTGGATAACCTATGTATGCTTCTACACTGTATTTATTTGCCGCACAGAAGTTCCTTTAAGTTCAAGGCTTTTAGATGAGTGCTTATAAGATCAGTCACAAGTATACACATCTTAGAAATACGTTATTTTTCAGTTTTCAACTCTAAGCTAGTAGATGTTTTTCCTTCCGGGATGTGTGTATGCATGTTCATTCCTTATTTAAATAAATAATATGAACAAGATGTTATTTTCTATATAAGTTGTTGTGATTATATTTGGGTGTAAAATCTTACTATCAAGAAAGGTTAATAGTCCCACACCCTGAGTTTGATTTAAATACTATAATAATGGTACACTTTGTATAACATACATTCAGTTGATAAAATTCAACAGTATATAAAAATCATACTGGATTTACAAAGCACTACTCTGTTACTGATTTTGCTAGTTAATTGTGTTTTTTTCTTTTGCTTTCAAGGAGACTGAGTTTATGTAATGGAAGACATTATCAAGAGGAAAGGAATTAATTTTGCAAACTAATCAGTTACGTGGACATCTTGAGTTTTTGAGAAAGATCTAAGTGAACTTTTCTAGCAAAAAGAAAATATATCAGCGACCTGTATAACTTGTGCATGATTGGCTGAGGTAATGCAGAAAAACTCCTTGCTGTGAGGTATGAAGTAAGACACCTGATGTCATAATATGAGCCCTTAGCAATACATGGTATGTACTTGTTAAAGGTGGGGGAAGAATGTGGAGAAAGAAGATATATTGGTCAAATATTGACTGAGAACTTTACTGGGATTTCTTAATACTTAATAAAAGGCTCCCAGGTAAAATTTAAAATTCTGTTAGGATGGTTATCTGCTTTTTCTCTGATATATGTATTGTTACCATGCTATCTGAACTCAATGTGATTAGAAATAAAACTTGTCAATGGTGCTAACTTATTTTAAGGTATTATGTTAAAAATGTCATACAGCATAAGATTCAAAGTTGACAAGTGAACATAGAGTAATAGAAATTCCTGAAGTCCAATTATCTACTTTTAGGGTAAAATAATGCATACAAACAAAATGGTATGCTATGTATAATGTTTTGGGAACTACAAAAGAGCCCCATGTAGACAAATTAGGCAACCAGTATTGGTAATCAATTTCTATTAAAATAATGGCAATAAGATTCTATTCAGGACATAGAGTTTTCTTATATGTGCTAAACTATACATATATGAAGTGCAGAGCCTACAATTGCTCTTACTTGTATTGAAGTGCACAAGTATGTGCAGATATTATATTGGTTTGTTAAAAGGTTACTCAATTGGTGAAATAAAAATATATTACCAATCCAAGTTTTAAACGGATAACAAGTAGTCAAATGAAATGTTTTTAAATCATGAGAATGTATTCATCTTGCTAACTCACTGTTAAATAACACTACAGTTATCTTAATTTAATATTCACTAAGTAGCTTTTGTCACTTTGTCAGAGAATATAGTTCTCATTAACAATCATAATTGGGACCAGCCAATTGGGATTGGTCGTTAGGCAAAGCAGTCGCTAAGTGAAACTGTGACTGCTTGTGATCTTACTTAAGCTTTTTGTTTATAGACCTGTGAAGGCTGTAAATATGAGGATTGAAAACGTTACTTTTTCAGCCCCAATTGATGACTACCTGTACAGGATTTTCACAAGTTCCTAAAACTGACGTAATTGTGCTAAAATTGTCTTAATTCCTCTTTCTCTTAACTAGGTCAGAAACAAAAAGATAAAAATTTCATTTATATTTAGTGTAGTTGAAATACTGTTGAACAACTATGGAAGTAGAAAATGAACAGACAGACATCATCAATACAACAACAGGTAAGAAGCTAAAAGAAAGCACAGTTAAAAAGCAGAAAATATTATAGTCACCTTTTATACAAGTATCTATTTATGAATATATTTTATTGTACATTTTAAGAAAAAATATATATTCAGGAAAGGAAAACCATAAAAAAGGGGGAAAGAGTAGGAAAAGTAAAAAAGGGATTCATAAGTACAAAGAAATTAAAGCTTTTCAACATTTCATTAATTGATTGTAACAACATATTTTAACATTTAAAAACATGAAAATTGCTCTTAAACTTTATATAGATTATAAATAATAGGAACAGTAGTCAATACAATATGAGTCATAAAATGAAATTGTAAACTATAATAAATCCTGTCCCTCCTACTAGAAATCCATTTTAATATAAGGAATCCTATAAAACTGAATATTAACACTATATAAAGAGGACCTCATATTTTGAATGTGATACAAATACATATATAAAATTGTAATCTAGGAATTGTCTCTAACTTTAATTAAGTTCTCCATATAATATCGACCGGACACATTTTCTATAGGATTTTTTGATCTAACATTTTTTTCCACAATGACATGCCAGCTGTCTATGAGAAGCTCACAACCATCCAAAAAAAACCCTCTCCAAGCATTTCAAGAAATAAAAGACATTTTTTTTTGCAAAAAGTTTTTTTATTTTTATTTTTCTCAACACACAAATTACATCTTTTTGGAACAGAGCTCTGATCTGGTCATTAATTTAAACAATTTTTTATCATCTTTAACAAGATTTTATATATTCTATTTTGCCATAATACTTATTTTTTAATCTTAAATTACCTGTCTCAACTAATACCGTCTTAAAAAGATTTACTCAAAATTTACTTAATCAAAACAATTACCCTTCTATTAACCCCCCTTAAATCTTAATTCAATTAATAACTCATAGTACATTTCACAATTCTTACCCTAAATCCTCACTATTAACAATACTTAATCTTAAATCACCTATCTCCCCTATTACCATCTTATAAAAAGTTTACTCTTATTTATTTAATCAAAACAATTACCCTTCTATTAACCCACTTTAAATCTCAGTTCAATTAATAACTCATAATACATTTCACAATTCTTAGCCTAAATCCTCACAATTAACAATACAGGTCACACATGTTTATATTTCAAAATCTTATTTCCCTTTCTAAAACTTCCCCATATTTATTAATACTTCATATAATGCTAATTAAATCTTTATTTCCTTATTACTTCACCAAATTTAGATCCTATCTCTAATATAGCAATTTAACATTGAAACATAGTTCTTAATTCAAATAAAACTACAATACAGTTTCAATCATTTCCCACAATTCTATCTCTTTAACCATATCATTTATATAAAAACCAGTTTAAGTAATTCTTATTTGTAATTCATAGCCCTATATTATTTCAATCTTCTTTTCTTTTATACTTAGATAGATATATTATCAAAAACATTGAAAATATTAAAATATTAAAATTATTGAAAATATTCAAATTATTGCAATTGTTATAGGTATTTAAACAATATCCCATTTTATATTGTCATCAATTATTCTCAAATAATACCATGTATCATCTTAATAAACATTGATTCATTATGTCCATTGATATATTTTCTTTTAACATAGTCTATTTCTCATATATTATAGCTTCCATCCATATTTCAATTTTAAGTATCTGTAACATATTCTTCTCATATTTCTATTAACCATGATTAATCTTAATATAGTTATTTTGTAAATCAAAGCCCTGGACTTTTCTATCTTACTCCATATTTCCGAATTCTTTCACTGTTAATCCCAGTGTAATCATCTTTATAACTTTTGTTATTCACAATATCGTCTCTAAAAACCTCCTTTTTATTATTACTATCCACATGTACATTACTTATTCATATTTAATCACGTCTTTGTCTTCTTTATTTCCAGCCGTTGTGTCTTGTTTCTTCATTTTCTTGTCTGCTTGCGTATACTTCATTTCAGCTTCAATGTCCTCAAATTTTATCTTCCATTTTTCATTTTAGTTATTTTTCTTATTTCCATTCCAAGTCAAATACATCAATTTGTTTCTTCTCTAATTCCTGCATCATTTTATTCTTTTTAAATTGATGTTATCCCAATTATAAGAGTTCCGTTGTAGTTCCCCTTTTCTTTTTTTCCCCCCCAAAGTCAAGCCACCTCCACAAATTCTCACGGTTGTTATCTGTAAAGTTCACGATTTTCCAAAACAAAAAACCAAATTGCAATGTTCCTTTTTACTCCAGAAGGTGTCTCTCTGCAATCCACAATTTCCAATTGTTTAACAAGTATCCATTTTGTTTGTTACATAACAGTCTTACTTGGCTTCTCTTTTTCTTTTTGGTTTTAAAAGTACAAATCTTTTTTAAAGTCCAGTCCAAATTTAAACTCTTTCCAATCCTTTGACCATGTCTCAATGTTTAACGTTTCCAATTAGTTTTACTCAAAAGTCAATTTTCTGTCGGGTCTTTGTCTCTTTAAAGTTACATTTCAAAATCTTCTTTGCCCCCATGTTCCTTAGCCGCTATTTTATCGCTAGGGGTCTTGTAGTTAAAAGATGTTTCCCTTGATGTTATTACAAGCCTGGGTTGGCTGTCACTCACCCGGCTTCGAAAAACTCCGTTCCGTTCCACTTTCCTCCTGCTCATTACTTGATCCGGTTGTCCCAGCTTCGTGGCAGCTGCCATGGCTGCCGCCTCCTGCCGCCAAGTCACAGAGAGTTCCCTCCAACTTTCGAGGAACTTGCCTGTTCCTCTTGGTCGTCCGAAGTGCCTCTCTTTCTTCCCCATCCTTGCAGGACAGTTCTGGTCGGCGGCTGTTCGTCAGCCGGGGTTTTCGCAGGGCTCATCAGAGCCCGCTAATTCCCTGACTGTCTCGCCGCGACGCCAAACCGGAAGTCAAGAAAAAGATATTTTGATGAGCTCCCTAACATAATATATGATTTATACCTGAAAATAGTAGATAATGTATGCAGTAGGAATGTCTAAAATTTTTAGAATGCAAAATATTTCATGTATGAAATCTCACATTTTAAATTCAAAGCAATTGCTTTGTTTAAAATTTGGAACAAGCTATTTGAAAAGCACACACACACACACACCAAACACAATTAAGCATAATTGCCCACTAAATTTTTGAAGAACTCAACTAATAGACCCAGAGCAATTGGGATCTATCAGTGGACCATTCTAACTAGTCCTCTATTATTGAAACAGCCTTCCATCCTTCCAGGGTCAGTAAAATGAGGACCCCAGATTGTTGGGGACAATATGCTGACTCTGTAAACTGCTTAGAGAGGGCTGTAAAGCACGGTGAAGTGGTATATAAGTCTATTGCTATTGCATGGATCAAGGGGATCTGTGATCGATAGTTTGATGAGGAAGCAATTTGTCTGTGGCAAAATATTGATGTTAATGTCCTCCATGTTCAAGTCATGCCTCATCTACACAGAAGTAATGGTCCAAGTATTTAATTTGTTTCAGCTGTAACATAAAACCATCAAGAAAATTTAAATTTGCAACATAGATCATTTTAAATATATTGTGCTGAATTGTATGCTGCATTATGACTATAATGTACTCCCTAGAACATTAGTATGTGTTTTCAGGTTTGTGTTCTTTTCAAAGGAATAGTTTGTTGACAGCTAATGTGTGTTTCTTTTTTTAGAAGTGGATAATCTTAGTGATACTCCTTTTTCTGGTGAGGAGGAAAATGTTGGACCTGATGAAATAAAAGTTGAAATCAATGGCAACTGGATCCCTGCAACATCAATTAATGAAGCTAAAATCAATGCCAGAGCAAAGAGAAGATTGAGAAAAAATTCCTCTAGAGACTCTGGAAGAGGTGACTCAGTGAGTGATACTGGTGAAGCCCTGAAAAGTGGAGTCGTTGTGCCAACAAGTCCAAAGGGAAAATATCTGGATAGGCGGTCTCGTTCTGGAAAGGGAAGGGGCCTACCAAAGAAGGGTGAGTGCTCTTTTGGTTTTTTTTTTTTAGCAAATAGCAATAAGAGGGTGGTTTTTACTTTGCTTTTTTCTTCATGTTTGTCCTTTGTTGCTTTTATTTATTTTAAGTAATAAGAAGATGAGCAGCAAAGAGATTTGAAAATCTAGAACTCTTAAATTTAATATTTGCCTTAGAATTCTTTGAAAAAAAGTTAAGATTCCTCGTTTTAATATTGACAAATATTGATAACAGTTAATTTAAATGAAATTGTGATTTAAAACAAGCATATTTAATGTATTAAAATGTGGCATGTCATCTTGTCCAAAACACTGAAGTATGTATGTATGCATGTGTGTATGTGTGTATGTATATATAAAGATATTAGACTTTCACTTAAGATATTAGAGTGAGGTAATAAGAAAATTGCTATATTCATCATTATAATATGGTTTTTACATTTGGTCTTAAATTCACCCCATCCCTTTGGCCAGGTGGTGCAGGAGGCAAAGGTGTTTGGGGAACACCAGGGCAAGTATATGATTTGGAGGAAGTGGATATTAAAGATCCCAACTATGATGATGATCAGGTAAAAAAATGCTTAGTTTGTTCCTTGATTGTTCAGAATGAGTCCATATAATCTACTTCCCTATTATGTGACTACTAATTTATGCTTATGCAGAGCTCTTCTGTGATTATTATATGTATAACTGGCTGTGCAGGGCTTCAGAATTGATTTGAGAGAGATTTTTGGAATGTGCAGGAATAAGAATATATTGTATTTTTTACTTTATGCTTTGACTATGCTCCCTTCCTTATCCCTTTTAAATGTGTATCAACTTTTAAAATGTGAAGTCGTTTTTGAGTCAGCTCTCCTCCTGGTGACTTCATAGAAATATCCCTGTACATGTAGTCCTCCACTTACGACCATTTGTTTATTGACTACTAAAAATTATAATGATGCTAGACGAATGGACTTATGACCTAGGCCTGCAGTGTGCCCACCCTTAATGTGTATGGGACTGCTGCAACTCCATTCTTTTCCACTATTGCCCGTGAGGCTTTGGTTGATGTGCAGAAATCTGACTAGATCCACGGATGTGCTGGGCATAACTGACTCAAGCTGGAAGGCTTCAGTTGTTAAGGCCCAGCAAAGTGTGAGCCTTCTCCCTCCCCACTGGCGCTGCTTAGAAGTATGGTCTTTTCCCTGCTCCACCGCTCCTGGAAGGCCCAGTGGTGCACACGCCTCCTCCTTCCCCTCCCACTGCTCTTGAGAAGCCTCCCTTTTCCTTTACTTCCCATGCCTGGAAGGCCTCAGCTGTGTAGGCCCAGCAGTACATGGGCCTCCTCCCCTAACTCCTGTTCCGAGCCAACCTTGAGAAAAATTGCTTCTCTAACCTTGAGGAAGATTGCCTTCACTATCTTTCTAGCTGAGCCTCACATTAGCTGGCCACACCTATCAGCACCTGCAGGAAAGGGAAGGTAAGTAGACCCATGTTTTATGGAGCAGGAATAAGGCCGGGCATTTTGGGAGTAGAGGGCAGGGATGAAGCCAACATGTTGCTGTGCCTAGTTGGCTGAGGCCTTATGGCCTGAGTCATGTTCCTGTATGCTGGTGGGCGCTGGTCCTCCAAATACATCCCTGACCTGCTCAGTTGCTTAATGATTGCAACAGGGAGAGCTGGGATTGTTTGCTGAGCAAGGCAGTTGTGGGTGTTTTGCTTAACTACAATGACTTACGACTAAAATTACAGATTCAATTGTGGTCATAAGTTGAGGACTAACTATAGTTTTGGGGCAAACATGTGAAAATATTTTTCCATTCCCTTGTCCCAGGATGTTTCTTTGACTTCCCAGTTTAATTTATAGCCCTGATATTTGTTGGTTATCTTATATTGGAGTAATATTCTGTTGAAGCCTGTTTGATTTTTGAGATCAGCTAAGCAAGGCTGTGTGCAATGCCCAAACACATTTAAAAGGTTTGTACAAATCCTTGACTCCATAATAATTAAGTACCATTGTTTTAAAATTTGTATATGTAGCTGGAGAGATATTCAGCATATTGAAGTTTTTAAAAGCTTTTTTTCTGGCCCCAGAATTGTGATAATGTTTAGATATATTTGGTAGTCTACCTTCAGAACTTTAACTGTACATTTTGTTAATTTGCCATAAGAGATTATGGTAGAAGAGAAGCAAAGTAGTGGCATAAACCGTTAAGTAGTAGCAAAATAAATATTCTTAATATCCAAATATCTTTGTTTAGTAAAGTATTTTGTCTTTGTTTGACATAGGATAACTGTGTGTATGAAACTGTAGTTCTACCTTTGGATGAAAAAGCATGTGAAAAAACACTAACTCCAATAATTCAAGAATATTTTGAACACGGTGATACTAATGAAGTGGCGGTATGTCTAATTACTTTTCAAAGGCAGATGATGTTCAATGAAGTTTGGAATGTCTCTAAAGAATGGAGTCTCTTAATCACTTAAATTTTACTGTATATAAAAATTTTAAAAGAGTTTTGTCATGGTGTTTCCAATCCGTTATACTTTAGAATATAGCCATCCAGTTGAATATGTTTGTTGTTGCTATTAGATTTGAAACAGTTTATACCTGAAGTTGCACTTCAAGTCCACTTCAAGTTCAGGACAATTAACCTATTATGTATTACTAGATATGGACCAGTGCCATTCTGAGTATCCCAAAGTGTTCTGAACTTAAAAGTGCCATGTTTTTAGTTTAAATCACCTTCTGTTTGTTCCCCTGTAAAACATTCTATTTTGAAGAAAAAATATTTTCTGTCCACCAAATAAATTGACTCACCAAAAGTTTTTCTGCACAAAATGGACTACCTCACAAAGAGGTAGTCTCATGAACCAATTTATTCCCTTGTGTTTATTATATAGAATATTCAAATACACCCAAAAATAAAATGACAGTTTATTTCTACTCTTCTAGGAAATGCTGAAAGACCTCAATCTTGGTGAAATGAAATATAGTGTTCCAGTTTTGGCTGTGTCATTGGCATTGGAGGGAAAGGCTAGTCACAGAGAAATGACTTCAAAACTTCTTGCTGACTTATGTGGAACAGTTATTTCCAAACATGATGTGGAAAAGTCATTTGACAGGCTTTTAAAAGACTTACCAGAATTGGTACTGGACACTCCTAGAGCTCCACAGGTTGGTTTAGTACATCTGTTTTTAACAGCTGCTTCAATCCTAATCTACATTGCTACTTGAAACAAAAGTATTTTAGATGTAAATATGAACAGTAGAATCTTCTTCAACTAAAGGTTTGGTTTCTGAAATGGATGGATCAACCAAATCTGCCCAATTTCAGAAGGTAAACTCTAGTGTAAGAGCATGGATTGTATCTCAAATTTGTATTTTGTGATATAAATTATATTGAATATTCATTTCATTCTTATATAGACCACCTGCATTTGAATACTCTTGCTATTTACAGTATCTCTTTGTCTCAGTATATTTAGGTTGAAGATGTGTTAGCTTGCACTACCAAACTGACAATTTACATTCTAACCACTCAGAACCATATTTTAAATATTGTAAATATATGCATACCACTTTTTTTATAAAAAAAACCATTAGAAAAATTACTTGTAACAGAATGAAATGGAATTTGCTATATTTACTTGCAAACGTTTCCTAAGTGAAGTGCTTATGATACTTTTAAGATAAAAAGTGTATGAGTTAATTTGAAATGAAAATGTTTTCATTTGGCAACCTGGCTCTTGTTTTATACTGAATTCCTTGTACACATATTTCCTTCTGTTTTGTCCTATACAATTGAATTGGAGGGAAAATCTATGTTGGAATATGATCTGGAGTTAAGAAGTGCAAGTAAAAATAAACATAGCTTTTTTCTTCTAGCCCAAACATTTCCAAATGTATGTTAAGCAACATTTTATATACACCTTTTATATATTTTATATACATCTTTATTAGCAGTCATATGGTTTGTATTAAGAACATTTTCATCATCAGTCTCTACTGTCCCTAAATTGTAGATGGAGAGGTGGAAGGGTATTTACATTTATTTATGACTCTACTAACATACAGTTATTATTCATCTTGTGTCTCTGTTAAGATGTGACTTGTTTAACACTATCGTATATTGACTAAGTCACAGTTGATTAATTGCAGTGATTGAAGTGGTATGCAAGCATGTGTATAAAATAGATGATGGTTTACAAATTATAGTATCTGGTTTCAGACAACCTGTTAAGCTCTAACCAAACAAAACCTCATAGTGGCTTAGTTAGATATTTTACCTAGTCTTAAATACAGAAAGTAATTTACTTAAAATGTATATATTTACTTTTTGTTTTGAGAGGATAATGCTGAAAATGGAGGGTTTGCCTTGTGTGAGAGATGTAAGCTATCTTTGCCTATGCTGCTGCATATGCCCAACAAAGAAAACGGGTCTCTGTTTATTAGAACCAACCCCCCCCCCAAATTTTATGGGTATACTCTTTGGTACAGTATTTGTCTCAACTTTGCTTAACGCATTGTAAGCCGCCCTGAGTCTCCGGAGAAGGGCGGCATATAAATCAAATAAATAAAAAAAAACAAAAAAAACCTTTGATCTGAAAAAATTGTTCCTTTTTCTTGGTAGTTGGTGGGTCAGTTTATTGCAAGATCAGTTGGAGATGGAATATTATGCAATACTTACATAGATGGTTACAAGGGTACTGTGGATTGTGTTCAGGCTCGGTAAGTGGTCTGCCTTTCATATTTCAGTCATGCATTACATACACTAGTTTTTAAATGCTTTATAATGTTAATTACAAGGAAAAAAAAGGTAGTGATTATTTTTGTGATTTTGCAACAAAGTAAGTATTCCAAACAGCGATAGCTAAAAGGACAAGATACAGGGAAGGCATGAACTTAATGGGGATAATGATAATGGATTTTAAAATCCATTTAGATTTATTAGATTTGTATGAAAATTACTGCAAAAATGTGGTGTAAGATATATTAATATGAAATTGTCAAATGAGAACAGAAAATTCAGAGTATAAAATAAAATTCTAGCCTGGTTCAGACATATCATGCACTATGTTAAATATTTTTATTTTTATCTTGATTAAAGAATACAGAGATATTTTATTTTAATTTTCATTACTTCAAAACCCAATCTAAGCTGTTCAAACTTGTACCACAAACTAGTCAGGTTTGGCTTTAATTATGTTTTCTCAAAGAAGCCAAAACAGATTGGTTTTCACTTAAAGAACTTGGAGTTTGTGGTGGTTAGGATGTTGAATGGTAGTGGAAAGATTCGGGTTCAAATCCTTACTTGAACTAGAATTCATTGGACATGAACTTGGAACCAGCTATTACTTTTAATTGTATCTTACCTAAAAAGGATTGTTGTTCTGAAAATAAAGTTGGGGAAAATTCTCATATGATGTCCATGTTTGAACTCTGAGAAGAGACAATGATATTTTGGAAGGCAAATTATACCTAATTTAAAAGATGAAAAAAAGTCCTTTCTTAATAACTCCTTGCCATGTTGCAGCAATGTGTGATACTGAGAAGATTGCTAAACTATACTTTAATTCTGTGTCTGACCGAATTGGTAATTTAAGTTTTTCAGATAAAATTGTGATTACATTTATTTACAATTGTTTGCTCTGCATATTCAGAAACTCAATTATAATCCATTTCTTTTATAGGGCTGCTCTGGATCGAGCTACTGTACTGCTGAGCATGAGTAAAGGGGGAAAACGCATAGACAATGTATGGGGCTCAGGTGGTGGGCAGCAGTCTGTGAAACATCTTGTTAAAGAGGTAATTAACACCCAATGGTTTGTAATTGGTTCCGTATTTAATCATGGATTTAACATAATTCTGGCCTCAAGCAATACATTTTTAAGCATTTCATTCTTCTCTGCTCCTTGCCAAAATTCTTACCTGACCATTCAGATAAAGAAAGCAAGTGGACAAATGTCTCCTACAACTTCTCATTTGTCCACTAATTCTTTAGGCAACATTACTTTGTGCAGTTCTTCCTGCTGCCTCATTCAAAGGAAGTATTAAAAAGCAAAAAAGATAGTAGTTAATTGATCCACTTCTCTGTTTTCTTAGAGGTTGGAACTTATACAGTACTTTTTCTATATTTACTCAGTAACTTGGTCCTGCTGCCCAGAGACAAATCAGACAGCAGTTGAAGCATTTTTCTTGCATGGTTCTATGGGAAGATCTATTGAATGTTTTTCCTTTTCTCTTATTAATTTGCATTACCACAAAACCCATAGTACACTGAACTTCAAATTTTGTTTGAAGTGTATTAACTGGCTATAGATATGTGGTAATTGTTATTAAGAAAATCAGTTGCAGAATTGTTATAGACATTTTATATTTCTTTGTTTTCTTTGTTACATTTTACTGTTTCTGCAGCTTTAAGAAGAAAAACAGTAAGCAGAGGAAGCAGCAATAGTTCTGCACTGCTTGCTGTGAATTGGGTGGTAGGGAAAGAACACAGCATGTATTTGTGATGTTGCATGAAGTAATCTTATATTTTTAATGGTACAATCAATCAAGGAATTAGCACAGTGTGTTTGTATCTTATTGGTTCCTACATCAGTCAGATCTGACAATAGAGGGAAAAAAACCCAGCCCTGTGAAACATACAGGCAGTCCCCCATGAAGAACAAGTTCCATTCTCAGTCTATCTTTAACTTTACATTATATGTAAGTCAAAACTTGTACTTAAGAATGGATAGCATTCCCTTCCTTGAGCTGAGGAACCGCTGAAACTATGCAATTTGTTTATACACTGCTGAAAACAGGCTTTATATTAGAAATGTGTGGCATATACATACTATATATTTAATGTTGACTATATTTGTATATATATATATATATAATATATATATATATATATATAATATATATTTATTGTTATTTACGGTAATTATTGTACACCACTTAAAGTCAGGTCTTGTGAGATGGGCAGCTATGCAAATTTGATTAATAATTTAAATTTTATATTTGATATAATTATATGCATGCATTTATACAAAGTATGTTGATAACTTATATAAAAATTGTAATTTAGACTAGAAAATGATCCTTGTAATTTGCACTTCTAGCACCTCGGCATACTGACATTTTTAAAAGAATAAAACACTAACAAGCATGGATTTTTTATGACTTCCTATCATGATCTATATATACACAATTTATCACATAAAAATACATTAAATGTTTGAATTGGTTGCTATTTTCTTCTAAACACTTGCTTGTTCATTTGATGCATGACTTTTGAACATTTTTTTTTTTTTTAAATTTGATTTATATGCCGCCCTTCTCCGAAGACTCAGGGCGGCTTACAATGTGCTCAGCAATAGCCTTCATCCTTTTGTATATTTATACAAAGTCAGCTTATTGCCCCCACAAACTGGGTCCTCATTTCACCTACCTTAGAAAGGATGGAAGGCTGAGTCAACCTTGAGCCTTGGCGAGATTCGAACCCTGCAGTAATTGCAGGCAGCTGGTCTTAAGCAGCTTAATAACAGGGTGCCTTAAACCCTAGTACTACCAAGGCTCTTCCTAATGTTCAAATAATATTTTCTTCGAATATATTAATAAAATAATATTAATAAAACATGGTGACTGTGGGATCTGATTTTTATTAGTATGCCCTATATATTTATTTGTTTGCAAGTTGGGAATGAGAAATTCAAAGAAACCTGCATGCAGTTATAATTTTATTTTAGACTGTGAAGGTATGCGTATAATAAATGTGTAAATATTATTCTGTGCTGTTTGCATTTTATGATTCTAGTTTTTTTATCTTTTGCATATGAAATGGAAATGTAGATTTACATCCTTATAAGGTTTCAGAACAACCTTAGGTTTTTTTAGCCTAATATAGTGTTATCTTTTTAATTCAATAGATTGATATGCTGTTGAAGGAGTACCTTCTTTCCGGAGATGTTTCTGAAGCGGAACGTTGTCTTCAAGAGTTAGAAGTACCCCATTTTCACCATGAACTTGTATATGAAGTAAGGCAGGAATAAAACATAAAAATTGGCACCGGAAATTTAATTATTTAGTAATCAAAAAATACAAACATAAGGAAAGATTACGACTACTTATAGGTAGTTTAAATAATTATACTATCTGTAATGATTGTCAAGCTGCTGCTTGTAAGTAACCTGGGCTGCGTAATACTATTTTAAGAGCTTATTTTGATAAACAATACATTTTAAATAAGTTCCTTTCTGCAGTAATCGATCCTCCAAGCTCATTCATATGTAATGAAAAACCTCAAACTCTAAGAATGCTGAATATCCTAGATTTAGCCTTTGGTATCTGCAAGTAAGGTGGAAAGACCTACTACCTGAAATGGAGGGCAGGTGCCAGTAATGTTGGCATATTCTCAGTGGACTTGTGAATATGACACAAGAGGAATCTTGCCTGAATTCTCTTATATATTTTAAATGTTTATAAACATTTCATATATGCATATATTTTATATACGTGAAGCAATTTTTTTTGCCAAAAGTGAACCTGAATAATGAAGTGTGATTGGATAGCACCAGCCTCTTGGACTCTAGCCTCGTTTTGACCCTGATGCAATAGCTAGGGCCCATTCTGTAGTGCAGAAATTTAAAAATAGGTATTTTTTTTAACCATTGTAATTAAAAATTAACTTTGAGTTTACATTTTAGGCAGTTGTGATGGTTTTGGAATCAACTGGAGAAACAAATTTTAAAATGATGCTTAGTTTGTTGAAATCCCTCTGGAGATCTGCTGTCATCACTATGGACCAAATGAAAAGAGTAAATGTGCATTATACATTCTCAAGTATTTCCCATTAATATTTTAATATTAATGTTTGACAGATTGCACTTATTTGTATTCACCAAGTGACATTAATAGCTCTGTTCTAAATTAAGGTAACACAAAATGTTGGTTTTGTTACATAATTTGAAAGGATACATTAAAAAAATTAATGGAAATTGCTTTGCAGAAGATCAATGTTAGAACATCTAAGTTTATTTTGATTGGGCAGAGATCTTTGCCATTATTTGCTACTTGACCTGTTTATCTGAAAATGCTCTGTTTTAGAGCTTTATTTATTTATTGAAGTGAAAATTTAAAGGTAATATGAAGATTGACTCTTTATACAGAATCGGTCTGAGATAAATCCTAAATATTTCCACCTAATATTGATGTTGCAGGGTTATGAACGTGTTTATCATGAAATCCCAGACATTAATCTTGATGTTCCACATTCATATTCTGTACTTGAGCGATTTGTAGAGGAATGCTTTAGTGCTGGAATAATTTCAAAACCATTAAGGGATCTCTGTCCTTCCAGGTAAACATTTAAGTATATGTGTCTTTGTGTGTATATTTATGTTCATGTTTTTCAGAAATAACTAATAACAAGTAAATTGCATAAGGTTCTTATTCAGTTATTCATGTGAATTCCTCAGAAATTTGAATAACCCCTTTAAAGCTAGTATTTATATGTCTATAATGTAGACTTGTCCATGTTTTGTTGGTAATGGTCAATTTTTGTGTCCAAAACTATGTTACTTAAAACTATAAAACCATTTATAAGACTACCTAATGAGATGTTGTTGATGTCTTTATTAAGACTATCTAATGGCATACTGTTGCTAAAACACCAGCAGCATGCCAAATTATAAGCACTGTACAAAACTTTTATTACTGTTGCACTATTTGTTCAATGACATATAGCAAAAACCTGCATTTCTTACAAAATAGAGTCTTATTTTCCCATATTGAATTTTTCATATTTTGCTTTTATTTGGATTAGTACTTTATCTGCACTGCTAGGTTGCAGCTAGGCACAAGGTACAGATAGCTAAAGTCTCACTTATTCAAACCATTAAGGATACTAAATTTTTTACATTTGTGTTTAAATGTATTCATTTTTTGCATTACTTAGACGTATTGCCAGATTCTCTTGAGCTTAGCCATATTTTTGCTAAATATTTTTACAGAATATTTGAAATATTCTGTAATTAAATTAATGGTAAATTCAATTTTTATTTATTAAAACTATTTTGCTTTTCATTTGATTATGAAGAAAAGTGCTTCTTCTAGATCTCTGTTTAGAGATGCCCATGCCTGAAAGTTTCTTCATAGCTTAATGATGGCCTTAGCTATTTATTTCCACTCACCAATCTTAATCTTACAATCAGAAAACCTGGTAATTAAAGTCTGTATGTAGCTGATATACACTTGATCAGATGTTTACTTAATGTATAATTTTCCCAGATTGATAGATAACTCTTTAGCCAAGTAAAAGAATAGTGGAGTTGTTGAAATGATATCTGTATTTTATTTTAGGGGAAGGAAACGCTTTGTAAGTGAAGGAGATGGAGGACGCCTGAAGTCTGAGAGCTACTGAATACGTGAATGAACTCTTGCAGCTGTAGATGTTTAAAGGGAATATATGTGTATATATTCTATATTAATAGTTGCTTAGCACAGTTCATTTATTTTTAAAAGATGCACTTGTTTGGGGCACTAATAATTTCTGACGGTTATATAAACTTGTGTTCATGCAAGAAATCTTCCAACTTTTATTTTTCTGAACCTATAGTTGGACAGAACAAATAACCACATTTCTATGGAAATTTGCAGAAACAAGGCAATCTTTTATTAAGTGCCATAAATTCACTCCAATCATTCCATGTTTTGCATTAATGCCTGCTTGCCGCTCCTTTCTTTTGAGGACAGCGTTTTGTGATAAAATCACTGGTTTATTCAAAGCAATGGGTTATATTAAGCTGCTAGACCTCTATTTTGCTGCTACCAAGACAGAAAAGTTACTTGTTTTAAAGGAGCTAAGAAATTTAGTATGATCAAAACATATATTTTTCAGGGGAAGATCTTGGTCTTCAGTTCAGCAAATGGTGGCTGGAACATCTATTCTTTTTCTATAAAACTGGAAAAAGGGCAGTTATAGAGTGTATTGTAAAATAAATTTGTCGAGCAAATTCTTAACTTCTAAAAGTACCTGTTGATTTACTTTGAAAACTATATCTAAATCTCTCACCTTGGTCCTAAAAGGAGGTACATGTTCGTATATTACTTGATTTCATCAGTGAACTAAATTTGGGAATAAACAAGCACAATGCATGTATAATTACATTCTTCCTTTTTTTACATACTTTTAGTACGTTGGGAGTATGTTGTAAACTAGGTTCCGTTGAGACTACAGTAATGCTATACAATCATGATGTCTCTGATGTTCCTTTTTTCATAAACACTGTTCACTTTGTCTGAACCTGACAATTTACTAACCTGAGCAATTGTGGAGCCATAAAAATTCTTCCAATAATATGCCAGAAGGATTGGGATTGAATATTTAGAGGTTTAAGACTGGATCTGGGAACAGGAAGCCGCTGGAATGCATACTACTCCCTTTTCCACTAATAAATTTCAGTAGCATATGAGGTTCCTGCAATGTGTTTGCATTTTAGAAATATCTTTGCTATATTCAGACCTGAATGCTGAAAGCCTACTAGCTAAACTAATTTAATTACAATAATTGTAAGTGGGGCCTGATTAGTCTTTCTAAAGCACCCTGTTACTCTCTTTATGCACAAAGAGTAGTATATGTTTGTGTCTTGTGAGGACGACATTCCAGATGAATATTAAATACATCATAAGGCCTCTAATAACAGTCATTAGACTTGAACTTTCTAAATCTGGTTTACACATTGTACTAAGCATGATTTAAAAGCTGTATTCATGTAACACATAAAGCCAAAATCAAGAAATCACTTCATGGTTCAATATATATGACACCTTGGTAGCATAACCGTTTATTCAGAAATTCCACTAATATTATAACAAGATATGCACCTTGTACAGCAAGAAGCTGAATTTAACTTTGATACGGTTTTCCAGATATTATTTACAAAATTATAACACAAACATGTAAACATTTATCTAAAATACATTTGATAAAAATACTTCACCTTGCTATCCATAAGTCATTGTATTGTTATATACACTAATATAGACCAGTAGGAAAATCACGTAGGTTTCTTATTGATCAAGAGCAGATGTTGAACACTGCTGTGCAGCTTGTTCCTGTTGTTGAATAATTTCTTGTGCTTCACGTTGCATTTTCTCAAGTTTTTCCAAAGTTACAGATTTTAATGGCAGCAGTTTAGGCTTGCACATCACCATGGTAGTTATGTCTTCTACTGCTAACATCCCTAAAACAATAAAAATAGGATGTCCAATAATGTCAAAGAATAAATTCAGATATATCGATTAAACAGATTCAAATATTACAGTTCCTATTTGGATCCCAATAAAATTATCTGTGTGTATATCAGGTTATATGTAAATACTGCAAAATAAGATATTTTTCACACAAGGCAATCTACACGTTAAGAGATTTCGAATTTGATACTTTCCAGCTTCACTCTCAAAATGGAATCTCAGCATTTTAGCTGGCAAAATCTACTTCAGAAAGGGATTATTTAAAAAACGAAGTCTGCTGAGCTGGAAGGATTGGTGACAGCTGCTTTAGGGCAAAAGGGAAAAAATAAGCTAGTTTCTGTAACTGATAAATTGGAAAATATAAATCATCCAATCTACCTTTTGGCTATCAGGTCTAAACCAAGTTCTAGTAGGTGAATCTTATTATTTGAACAAAATCACTCAGATCTTTAGTCTGAAATAGGCTCCCATTTTTGCCATATAGACTACTTTAAAAGGAAATGGTATTGCCAGGAAGGAAACATTACAAGGTGTATGTTTCATATATATAATATAGAAAGGTTAATTATACAGATACTAGTTATCTGTAATTACTTTGTTACTTTACTATTTATTAAACTAATTTTTATAGCTTCCCAACTCACACAGAGGTGATTCCGGACAGCTTACAACATTTAAAAATCCTCCACATAAAAGCCCCGCCCCTTAATTTAAAGTAAAAATAAATGCAGAATTCTTAAAAATGACTGTGGAGAACATTAAGATAGATTTTGCTTTTTTTTTCATTCCTAGTAATAAATGCTGCTTACCCTGCTTGGGCAAAACCTCCCGAAACTTTGATTCAGACATTCTGAAGGTGACAATTAAAGTAGTATCATCAATTTCTGATTACAAATAAGGAGATTCCTGTAAACATAAATTGTATTAGTTACTCAATTTAGTACCGTTATTAAAAATTAAATTCCATGATTCAGAACTTTCCAACAAAAATGCGCTGATTAATCAGTTCCGCCTGGCATCTCATCTCATCTGAAAAATTACACAATTCAAATGCCTAGAAATGAGGCTTTAAGCTTACAGCAGCCAGAAACGCAAAACACTTTTCTTCGGCGCTTCATATGGTCCACGGCCTGCGCCTTGGGGCCGCTCCTCCCCACAGCTTCTCTGGCTCCCTTTGGCGTGGAAAGCAGGAAACCTCTACTTCAAAGGCAGCCAAGTGCCGCCCTCTCCCTCTCCTCTTTCTTTGTTCTCGTCCCCTTATCTCATTCGGCAATTCTTGATTCGCTTTACTGACTTTTCCCTCCGAGCACCGGGCTTGGCCTTGGGGGCCTTCCCCAAATCGTTAACCGCAGACAGCGATCTCCCCACTTCGCGAATACCCGTCTCTCGCAGCGCTCTCTTTTTTTTCTACCGGCTGCTGTCAACGGAATTCCTTGCCCGCCACGGGAACCATAGAGAGCTAGAGTACCGGCGCGCCAAACTCAGCCAGGGCGCTGCCATATTGGCCAGAAGCGGAAAAGGCTTGGTTGCTCTTAGCAACGGATGAGCACCACAAACGATTGAAACGCCGAGAGAGAAAAGGGTGGATCGGCATCGCGAGAAGACTGCAGTTTATCCTACTTCAGGATGATTAGAGCGCAGTTATTGGAGTCCGATGTCGGGTCCGAATGCCGCATTACTGATTATAAGTATGGAGAAGCGGGAGCGGACTCAGAAAATGCCTACCAAGGCCTAGTTAAGGAAGCTGGAGATGTTTATCTTAACAAAAGAGAAAGTTAAAGGCAATACAGGGTCGCCGTGCTTTGTACTTTGTATAGTTTGACTTCGATCAGTGTTCTTCAAACTTGGCCACTGTAAGATAAGTGGAACTCAGCAGGCTGGCTGAGGAACTCTGGGAGTTGAAATCCACACATGTTAAAATTGCCAAGTTTAAAAAACCCGATTTAGATGATCCTCCGGTGCTATTATTCTGTTATTACATTGTTCATTATTATCTTTCTCCTTTTTGTTGCTTTTAATTCTGTGCTTGGAAATGGACAGATCTAATGGTCTAAACATTTTTAAACAGCCATTTAGTGACCATGCCTGTCAATAGATTTATATTTCATATTAATTCGTTAACATCTTGAAACTCTTTTTAGAATTCATAGCTTTCATTTTCTCACTTTGGAAGGAACAATGAGCAAGGAAGCAGGCTATTCCATACCTTTCAAGAAGCAAATATTTTACTACATGTTGTAGAAAAGTAGCTTGAATGAATTGCTATTCAATTCAAATGAAATAAAAGCAAGCAGCTTTTTTTCTTCCTATCCACAGTGGTGGTGTAGGCTTCTTCATGATTTGAAGACTAAAAAATGATTGGAAATAGGCAAAAGCAAACAGACGACCTTAAACAAAATATATGATATCATGGGAAAGATGGAACTGGGTATCCATGACAGGTACCTATGTATCTGCATAGCTTCCAAATCTAATTTTGCCCTTTGAATCTGGATCTTTGCATAGCCCTACAGGCTAATTATTTTGGGCCACATTATGGGCAAATTTAAAGCAGAGTGCTTACTCCCTCTCCCTTTGTAGTTATTGTTTTTCCTGACATCCTTTTACCAAAGTGTTGAAGGAAAAAATACATAGCTGTGAATTTATATAGCTGTCCATCCTGCAATTACAACTCTTATCCTTGATCTTTTCTAAAGGGATAATGGGATTGTCAGGGTTCCAAGTAACAACCCCGAAGAAATAAAACTCTGAGGCTTGAATTTCCTCAAAGCTAATTTTTATTAGAGATGTCATATTGGCATATCTGGGAAAACCCGAATCTGAGAGTTTCTGGGTTTTCCACACCCAAAAGAAAGTTCAAGACCTTGCCCCTCTCCCACATGTCCACCACACATCCAATCAATTACTGTCCAGTACAGGCGATACCTCCTCCTCCTTCTCTACACAGCTGCAGGGCCCCATGGCCTTGACTCTCTATAAAGAATTTTATTGTGGCTACATATCTTCTGTCTATGCAACCCCCACTCCCAATTTCCCACAGCAGGACTTGTGGCAGGCCTGAAGCCTGAATGCATAAAGGTAGAAATATGGCTTCCGGGTCTGACATAGATAAAGCTAAAGCTTGCAGACATCGTACTGCATAACTGCAGCAAAACATGATTACTTACTAATCCTATCAAGCCAGTAATTGCTTTGTGTATGAAAACGTATGCTATATGCATTTTGGCTGTTATTTAGTAAGTGAAGCCTTTCAGTCTTATTAATAGAAATAATTAAGAATTATTTATAAACCATTAGGAATTAATCAGAAGAGGACTATAATGTAATAAGTTGAGGATTTTTTTCTTGAAAACATTTGTAGAAACAGGTCAGTTCAAGATATATAAACAGTTTATGTCCAAGATAGCAAAGTTAATAAAGTCTCCCTAATTTAGCTCAGAGGTATGAATGCCATGATTCTGAATCTGTTCCAGTTTCAAAAGTCTTAGTTTTACTTAACCACCTCCTTTTTCATATAACTGTAAGTATACGAATAAAAAATGCTTGGCTGAAGTCCTGTGCATAATTGTTTGGGAGAAAGTATCTCTGAATTCAATAGAGATGAACCGATTTATGCTATAAAAACTGTTTCTAATGTTTGGAAATTGGGTTCTGAAGATCAGTTTATTTCTCATCTTTCTCTATGGCAAAAAATAAAACGATGTTCATGAATAGTATTTATATATTTAAAATTGTTGGCATCCCAACTCCAGAGGGCTATGGGTGAGGTACAAAACTAGACAAAAACAATATTAAATGAAACATCCCAGACCAAAATATCACAGAGAGCAACATCAACACAACGAACAAATAAACTAACAAAAACAGGGGCCATTGAACAAACAATAAACCTTAATCTGGGCCTGGGAC